GGATACATGTCAACCTTCCCAAACATAACGCTAGACTAACTTAAAGCCATGTCTGGCTTTAACAAAATCATTTGAAGTATTATAATACAATATGAAATTTACAGAAAGCAACTGACAATTCAGGATATAGGGATAGAAATCCTCCATAACAAAGAAATAAATATCCTGGGGCAGACAAATGAGAAGTTGAATATCACCCCCCTGAGTCGCTGGATAACCTTAAGTAGCCATTATATTCTCTGATTCTCAGTTTCATCATTTCAGGGGTGTGAGGATGAAGTGAGGTATCATGTTTCAATTAAATAACTGTGCCTGGCATATCGTGGTCTTTAAAATGTATCAAGTCCTCCAGTTCCTATCTCAGGTAGAACATCTTCCTTATAACATTGATTTCATAGGGGATAAGAGAGAATCACTTTTTGAATGTTACATTTGGTACCTTTAACACCGAGGAAAAAGGAAAATGAAGTAAGTAGATGTGAAGGTTCCAAGCAGTCATTTTGGTCTAAATGAACACTAGAGTATAAATCCAAAAAGTTAAATTTTGGTGCCAGATTCAACACAAACTAGATGTGACATTGGACAAGTTATTTAACATCTCTGGACTTCTGTATTATTTCTAAAACACTGAATTTCAGTTTCAGCTTGGTATTTTGCTCCAGGATTTCCTTTCCCTGGAGTTACATTCAGGAAAAATATTTTAGGAAGGTAGCATAAAAGACAAGTGAGGGTGTTAGATGCAGAATCTTCATCTTCCAGACTAGGATACCAACATATTACATTGAAAAGTGATAAATCAAAACTGTCCAGAGAAGTCATTATTTTTAAAATGTGGAGAAACAGCTAAAATAGTTAAAATGATTGCCTGCAGAGGACAAAATTCAAATGTAGACAGAAGGAAGACAGAAGGCTTTTGTTTTTAGTATTAACCTTGTAATACTGTGATACAATGAGGCATAAAAAAATACATATTTGGTCATACATATATGTATGTAGTCTTAAAGGTGAAATGGGTGCTTTGTCATGTTAATGAGAGATTTTTTAGACCCCTTCCCTCCCACCCAAGAGCAGGGGCTGGGGCTGAATCAGCCGATGGCCAATACTTTAGTCATCGTGACTATGCAGTGAGGCCCTCACAGAAGCCCCTGAGAAGAGCTTACCACTCGCTGCTCTGCTCAATTGGATCCTGCTTCTTGGTCAGAGAGAGCTTCTAGGCTTGGGGAACCAGAACACCTCCATGTGCCACTGAGCCGGGCCCCAAGGTCCACTAGGACAGAAGCTCCTTTATTTGGGACCTTGCCCTGTGTATCTCTTCATCTGGCTGTTAACTTGTATCCTTTACGATATCCTTTATTAAACTGGTAAAGGTAAGTTGTCCTGAGTTCTATGAGCCGCTCTAGCAAATTAACAGAACCCAACGGGGAGGTCGTAGGAACCTTGCCGACAGATGTCTGGAGTGGGGGGGTGGAGGGCAGTCCTTAACCAGGGGAATCTGGTGCTGTCTCCAGGCAGATGGCATCAGAATTGAGTCGAGTTCTCCAACACCCTGCTGGTATTTAAGAGAATTGCGTGGTGTTCCCCTTGACACATACACCCATTTGAATCTGGTCTGGTAACCCGGATGGAGTTCACTACTATTACTGCTGTGTATAATAGTGTTATATATATATTATATATATATATATATATGTGTTATATATATATAAGATACCATTTGTTTATTTAATTGTAAATACACAAAAATTTGATAAAAATAGAAATTATTTTTTAAAGATACATAAAATATCTTTTACTTTTTTTGAATATCATGGGCAGAAGTCTATTAATTCCTATCAGTTATATCCTAACCTGGCATCCATTGCCAAATCATGTTATGGTCCCAAATATTATCTGAACTCATTTACTTCTCTATGTACAATGCCATCAACCTGCCATAAAGCCTCATTTTGTCTCCTCTGGAACGCTGCCACTGTCTCCTCACAGATTTCCTGTTTCCACTCTTGCCACCCTCCAGTCCATTCCATTCCCAGCACAGACTGATGTTTGAAAGCTACAAAACATGACACGTTGCCCCACAGCGTAGACCCCTTCCATAGGATTGCATTGCCTTCCAAATAAATCCCAGGACCTTAACAGCCTCTGAGCCCTCCACCTTCAGTCTCCTGCTTATGTGTCCAGCATCATCTCCCCACTGTCTCCTTCATTCACTTCAATTTGTATATACTATTCCTTTTTCTCAAACATTTCCCCTTCATTCTTTCCTTGGTTATCTCTTACTTAGGATTCCACTTAAATGCAACAGTTTTTTCTTTTTCTTCCCACCATATTAATATTTTACCACAGCACTTACCGTTTGTAATTGCCTGTTCATTTGTTCACTTGCTTAGTCTTTGCTTCCTCCACAGGCTCTAAGCTGCATGAGAGCAGGGACTTTGCTCACTGCCATTTCTCTAGTACCTAGAATGTTCCCTGTCACAGAGTAGGTCTTTAATCCATATTCATTGAATCAATAAATACATGGATTGAACCCTAGGATACTTTTTCTCAAACTTTAGTGTGTGCATACAATCACCGAGGGGAAATCTTTTTTTAAATTCACCTCTGATTCAGTAGATCTGGGGTGGATCCTGAAATTCTGCTTTTCTACCGTGCTTCAGGTGAGGCCAACACTGCCTTACTCTCTATGGCCAGCGTAGAGGGGCTTCAAAGATGCGTGATAGTCACATATGTCCTGTAGAAAGGAGCATATGATCTGGTAATGGAGTTGCCTCAAAGGTGATCTAAATCTCCCCATGCCACTTCCGTTTTCACTGGTATGGGAAGCATATAAGACCTGAAACTCTCTGAGATTTGGATACATGTCAACCTTCCCAAACATAACGCTAGACTAACTTAAAGCCATGTCTGGCTTTAACAAAATCATTTGAAGTATTATAATACAATATGAAATTTACAGGAAGCAACTGACAATTCAGGATATAGGGATAGAAATCCTCCATAACAAAGAAATAAATATCCTGGGGCAGACAAATGAGAAGTTGAATATCACCCCCCTGAGTCGCTGGATAACCTTAAGTAGCCATTATATTCTCTGATTCTCAGTTTCATCATTTCAGGGGTGTGAGGATGAAGTGAGGTATCATGTTTCAATTAAATAACTGTGCCTGGCATATCGTGGTCATTAAAATGTATCAAGTCCTCCTGTTCCTATCTCAGGTAGAACATCTTCCTTATAACATTGATTTCATAGGGGATAAGAGAGAATCACTTTTTGAATGTTACATTTGGTACCTTTAACACCGAGGAAAAAGGAAAATGAAGTAAGTAGATGTGAAGGTTCCAAGCAGTCATTTTGGTCTAAATGAACACTAGAGTATAAATCCAAAAAGTTAAATTTTGGTGCCAGATTCAACACAAACTAGATGTGACATTGGACAAGTTATTTAACATCTCTGGACTTCTGTATTATTTCTAAAACACTGCATATACTTTGTTAAATACATTATCTTCTTATAGGAAATCATCATTCTTCCAAATCATTTGAGTGTTAGTATATGTTTTCTTTCCTTTTGGAATATCAGTAACTTTCACAGAAATATTAAAATCGCATAAACATTGAAAAATTTGAATAAGGATTGTAAAAACATTTTTTCCTCTTGAAATGTACTAAAAATCCTCAAATTATATTACTAAGCTTTAAAAAAGTTTATGAAATCAGCTAAATTAATCTTTTACTTAGAAAACTTCCATTGTATTTAGATTACACAGACTTTTACTCACAGTTGGAATTTGTTTTAGTTGCTGTATATGATACTAAGTTGTCATAACGTAGAATTGTAGCTTAAACATAACTTAGAAATACAAGAAAAAAAGAACAATTTGGAGAAAATGAAAAATAACCAATTAAATTTGATCCGTGAAAATAATTGTTACATTTCTATGTAATAATGGGAAAAGTCCGTGAAAAATTGCTTGACTACATAGATGTGTGTTTCCATTTAAATACTGACAAATGAATTTGATTGAAAATTATAATTTAATGCCTTTAATCCTGTCCCCCATATAAGTGGCTTTTGATTTCTCTTCTGTGTCCTTTTTATATATCTTCCCTCATCCCTCAGTCTACTACTGAATGTTCATTGAATTAAGCCTTTGGGGTCATTTGGATTTAGCTAGACTCCTTAATGTCCTTGGCTTCAGTCTTTGCACATGAACATGTTTTTTGTTATTCTTAATCACTTCTTTTTTTTAATCAATTCCTTACTAAAACATAAATTTAGTCCTTGAAAATTCACTCTGGTATTTTACAAAGATGGCAAATTCAAACTTCTGCTGCGTGAGACACACCATTAACCGTACAAAGACATTTTGTACCTGCTATGTCAGTATTTACTGATGTGTTAATGTAATAAGGACCCATCTGCTTCTTGTCTATGAGGCACTTTCTATCTATAGAGATGGAAACTCATGACACAGTCTCTCTGAGTTCCCTGATGTCAGTTGGGAAAGGTGTGAAGGGTATATAAGACCTAGATGACTAGTTAGCAAGAGGAGGCGTAGATAGGGTAGATACTCTAGTGTGCAAGCTTGGGACTTTTCATGCAGCTTTCTTGCTGTCAGAGGCATTTTCTGATATTGCTGACACTGAAACATCAAAAGGTAAAGAATTTCCTTTTTTATGGGAAAGATTATTTAGGGAGGAGAAGACTTAGAATTAAATATGTGATTTATTTGAAAGAAAGGCTAAAGGGATAACACATTATAACATTAATTGTCCAGATTGTTTAGAGAAGGAAACTGGGAAAGTGAAAATTTTTGAAAATATTTGGAAATTGTTTGAAGAGTGTGAAAGGACTATATCAACATTATGATCTTTGGAGATTATGTTTAAAAAGAGATCTTTTTAAAGTAGGCTCTAATTTCAAATGCCATAAATCAGAGCTAGAAGACATTTCTTGATTTCAGTGCTGAGTTCTTCTTTCCAGAACACTTGCGAAGCAATGAGCATCCTGAAGCTGCCGGTAGTTCTCACGGTGTTCTCGGTTGCATTAAACTATCTGAAGGCTACCCCCATGGAAAGGTTAGTAACTTTACAGTCCGTCTCTTTTGTAAAGTGTGAGATAATTCGAATTAAATACTACAGCATAACTAACAGCCCTGATGGCATTCGATTCCTGATGAAATCATACTTAAGAAACAGTACATTAAGCTGTTCAACTGTTCTGCGAATTCTGTGTTCTTCAGGGAATGATGTCAGTCGTGGGTGAATCCCTCTGATGAAACTTCTGACAGACAGGAATGGATAGGTTCAGTTTTGTTGAGAAATACACTTTTGCAACTCAAAGGGTCAAAGCCAGGACATGACACAGGAAGAACGGGAAGGTAGTCACTTCTACCAGACTACCCTCATTCTCAAACCAACTAGAGGAAATCAAAGCATGTATTTTGTATCAAGTGGGATTTTATTGTATACTTACATAGACTTTTTGTTTTTCTCAGGGGGCTCTGCAATGTCCAAACATTTAACATCTCCTTCTGGAAATTGAAATCATTGAAATAAACAAGCGGCAAATCAAAAATTTTGAGAACTACTTAAAAAGCCTTGCTCTTGGGAGATGGTATATCATTAACTGTTTCATTAATGAAACTGTTTCATATAATGAAATAGCTGCTCTAAATGTAAATGAATACCACTTGAAAATGTTTTCAATCTGTAGCATGTGCGTCAGGATTCCCTTGGAAAGCTTATTTTTGAAAAGCATCATGTCATTTAAACAGTGATTTTAAGCAAGTCTAAAAACTATTTTGGGTGAAAATGTTAACAGTAATTACAGCTTTCAAGGAGAAAGGTTTTAAAACTGTAATTCTCCATTTATTTAAAATATTCTAAAATCCAAATTCATGCATATGGCATAAACAATATAATGAGGATTTCAATCAGTTAGACTCCTTGTAGTCTTGTGAGACTAACTTAATACACTTAAAGACGAAGAAGAACAAAGCTTACTTTTGAAAAGAGTTTGCTTTAAGTCATATCTGAACTCTTCTCAGAATTATCAGCATCATGAGAAGATTTTCTTTGTCATTTCTGGGCTTATCTGGTTTACTGGATGTTCTTCGCAGAATTGACTGTGATTTTCAATTGGATTTTTTGCCAGTAAATATAACTTAGAAACTGACATGAAGCTTCTGGAAAACTAACAGAACAATTGAATGACGATAGGAAAATTAGCAGTATTACCTTGTATTTCTATCTATATCTTGATCTTTTCTTTCATTAGAAATAGACATTTGCTAAGCACCTTTACCCTGTATATCTTTACCTGTATTAGTTTATTATTATGAGGTAAACTTCACTCACACACAGAATAGTATATAACATTATTTATTATCAAATTATTTTCATGCTAGTCTCACTTCTCTGAACTTTTATGAGAAATACTTGTAAACATTATTCAGATTGTTCTTTAATGAGTTTGCTAAAGTCACTATGCTTCGTCATTTTTTAAAAGGGGGTTGGGGAGAATTTATCATCCTGACCTGTTCAATCATGTAGTATTTTATAGATTTCACAAAAAAGCTGAGAAAGCCTATGTAGAAAACGTCTCAAATTTTAAACACCTTTAAAAGACAAAGCTGATGTAGATTTATTATTCACTGTCATTTTTGACATAAAATTCAGTCATCTCATTTGAGATCTTTTTAAACTTTTATACGGGTATGAGATGGGATTAAGAATAACAAACTGACTTCACCAGCCAGATCAAAAAACAGTTTTGTTGTTTTATGCTCATTACTAAAGCAAAAGGACCTTACACTTGCCCACCAACTTTTTAACACTGTTATAAAAATGTGCCTCGCAGGTGATCAGATGCAAAACCAAAGTATAATTACATGGGTTTTAAGCTATCGTCACTAAGAATATCCTATAGGAACTCACACATCTTCACAAATGAATATTAAGAGCTGGGAACAGGGACACATTTTAAGATTGTTTTTAAAACTCTTGAAACTGAGTTGTTTTCAAAAAGATATAATTGAGGAATTATAGTTTGGCCTATAGAAATAACTGTTCAAATTCTCTTACAGCCAAGAATTTGTGCCTGTGTGTAAGTGGTTAGTAGCTTTAAACTAGTGTGTGTTACTGAATGGTAGGCAGGCAGGCCTTGTTAATGAGGAAGAGTGATTTCTTTTACTAACCATTTCAGCCATCTTTTTCCATCTTAATGATTGTTTGGGATCCACCTTTGTACACCCTGGCTACTGTTTTTGCATAAAAAGTCTTGTTTGGGAAAGCAATTTCAAAATTATGAAACCAATCATGAAAAAAGCAACTAGAGGAAATCAAAGCATGTATTTTGTATCAAGTGGGATTTTATTGTATACTTACATAGACTTTTTGTTTTTCTCAGGGGGCTCTGCAATGTCCAAACATTTAACATCTCCTTCTGGAAATTGAAATCATTGAAATAAACAAGCGGCAAATCAAAAATTTTGAGAACTACTTAAAAAGCCTTGCTCTTGGGAGATGGTATATCATTAACTGTTTCATTAATGAAACTGTTTCATATAATGAAATAGCTGCTCTAAATGTAAATGAATACCACTTGAAAATGTTTTCAATCTGTAGCATGTGCGTCAGGATTCCCTTGGAAAGCTTATTTTTGAAAAGCATCATGTCATTTAAACAGTGATTTTAAGCAAGTCTAAAAACTATTTTGGGTGAAAATGTTAACAGTAATTACAGCTTTCAAGGAGAAAGGTTTTAAAACTGTAATTCTCCATTTATTTAAAATATTCTAAAATCCAAATTCATGCATATGGCATAAACAATATAATGAGGATTTCAATCAGTTAGACTCCTTGTAGTCTTGTGAGACTAACTTAATACACTTAAAGACGAAGAAGAACAAAGCTTACTTTTGAAAAGAGTTTGCTTTAAGTCATATCTGAACTCTTCTCAGAATTATCAGCATCATGAGAAGATTTTCTTTGTCATTTCTGGGCTTATCTGGTTTACTGGATGTTCTTCGCAGAATTGACTGTGATTTTCAATTGGATTTTTTGCCAGTAAATATAACTTAGAAACTGACATGAAGCTTCTGGAAAACTAACAGAACAATTGAATGACGATAGGAAAATTAGCAGTATTACCTTGTATTTCTATCTATATCTTGATCTTTTCTTTCATTAGAAATAGACATTTGCTAAGCACCTTTACCCTGTATATCTTTACCTGTATTAGTTTATTATTATGAGGTAAACTTCACTCACACACAGAATAGTATATAACATTATTTATTATCAAATTATTTTCATGCTAGTCTCACTTCTCTGAACTTTTATGAGAAATACTTGTAAACATTATTCAGATTGTTCTTTAATGAGTTTGCTAAAGTCACTATGCTTCGTCATTTTTTAAAAGGGGGTTGGGGAGAATTTATCATCCTGACCTGTTCAATCATGTAGTATTTTATAGATTTCACAAAAAAGCTGAGAAAGCCTATGTAGAAAACGTCTCAAATTTTAAACACCTTTAAAAGACAAAGCTGATGTAGATTTATTATTCACTGTCATTTTTGACATAAAATTCAGTCATCTCATTTGAGATCTTTTTAAACTTTTATACGGGTATGAGATGGGATTAAGAATAACAAACTGACTTCACCAGCCAGATCAAAAAACAGTTTTGTTGTTTTATGCTCATTACTAAAGCAAAAGGACCTTACACTTGCCCACCAACTTTTTAACACTGTTATAAAAATGTGCCTCGCAGGTGATCAGATGCAAAACCAAAGTATAATTACATGGGTTTTAAGCTATCGTCACTAAGAATATCCTATAGGAACTCACACATCTTCACAAATGAATATTAAGAGCTGGGAACAGGGACACATTTTAAGATTGTTTTTAAAACTCTTGAAACTGAGTTGTTTTCAAAAAGATATAATTGAGGAATTATAGTTTGGCCTATAGAAATAACTGTTCAAATTCTCTTACAGCCAAGAATTTGTGCCTGTGTGTAAGTGGTTAGTAGCTTTAAACTAGTGTGTGTTACTGAATGGTAGGCAGGCAGGCCTTGTTAATGAGGAAGAGTGATTTCTTTTACTAACCATTTCAGCCATCTTTTTCCATCTTAATGATTGTTTGGGATCCACCTTTGTACACCCTGGCTACTGTTTTTGCATAAAAAGTCTTGTTTGGGAAAGCAATTTCAAAATTATGAAACCAATCATGAAAAAAGCTTTTAATATTTCTTTTAAATTCTAGCTTCTAGCTAACTCAAATAAGGTAACATTTTGTTGAAATAATTTTAAGTCCTATTGAGACCAATTATCGAAGTACTGCTCAGCTATTATTTAGCATGTAGAGTATTTCACAGTCTGCTTCAGGCACTTGCCAGACATACCTGGGGACAGATATATATCCCTTTGAACCTTCCCAGTGTGACCCATCATTTCCCTTATTGCTTTAGATGTATTAGTTTGAGGTCTTTGGGGTCAAAGTTCAATTCCTGCTGAATTTCAGGAAAAGTTTATTATTTTAAAATTTGATGTCCAATGTATAAATTACTTGCTCAATCCTTAAAGATACTAAAATCATTCTTTGGATGCCCATTGGCTGTGCTTGCTACACATGCAAAGAGAAATACTTGAACAGATAAAATGAATAATAGTGATATATAGATTAGGTCCCCAAGTGGGTTTCCTTTGTCTAAATAATTGGTTCATCGGCATACACTTGTACTCAACAGATACACAGTTCAGTTGAGGCTGCGAGAAAAATTGTCTGTATTGGGAAGGAAATACAAGAGTCAAATTTCACATGAGATCTGAAAACATCTACTCTTAGACTACCTCTGTACAGAGAAACAGATAATGAAGTCCTCTCCACAGAAAATTAATACAAAGGCAGAAAGTCCCTTGCATTTTGCCCCCAAGTGTGATTTCCTACTGACTTCTGGATAGAGCCTCATACCTGTATCTCCTTCCCATTTCATACTTGTCTCAAGTTTCACCAGTATTTTTATTTCTATGGTGCCAAAACCTAAAACCTTTCATTAGCTTTCCTAATAATCTGCCACAAGGAAGCACTGTTATTATTCTGTATTTCACTGTTCTGTATTTCCCTGTTCTGAGAGTACAGCAATACGAAAGGTGGTACAGAAACTTAGAGCTGCTATAAATAAATTCTGTAAATAGAAACAAGTTAAAATTCAAATGAATTATTTAATCATAGTTCTCATTTCTGATGTACCTATAATGTTATGATGCAGTTGTTCCAGGTGGCTGCTGTTGGTTTTAAATTTAACTTAATCCTGTTATGAAAATTCCTGAAAGCATAGAAGCCAAGCAGGTAGTAGAAAGAAAGTCTTAAGTCTAAGTCTCTAACCTCTCTAACCTGTTTATTGTTACCAGTCATCAGGTGGAAAAGAAGAATTGCAACACAGCCACTTGTGCAACTCAACGCCTGGCAAATTTTTTAGTTCGTTCCGGCAACAATGTTGGTGCAGTTCTCCCGCCTACCAACGTGGGATCCAATACATATGGCAAGAGGAATTCCGTTGAGGTTTTTAACAGAGAACCATTGAATTACCTATCCTTTTAGAGGTCAGTGTACCTCTACCATGCTTATTGTTTTATGTATAAATAGTCTAGTGATTTCCTATATAATTTAACATTGTCTTTTCCATTTCTAGCCTGAATATAGGAGTTCTGTGTCCAGTGTTTGCCACCTTACAAATTGTCGTGCTAATAATTGTTTTAAATTTATTACTAATTGAGGTCCCATAAGAAAAAGGCACTGTCTTTGAAAGTAAAATGTCCTTGCTAGAGGTTTTTATTTAAAAAATATTTTTTTATTTTGGTATCATTAATATACAATTACATGAGCAACATTGTGGTTACTAGATTCCCCCCATTATCAAGTCCCCACCGCATATCCCATTACAGTCACTGTCCATCAGTGTAGTAAGATGCTATAGAGTCACTACTAGTCTTCTTTGTGCCCTACTGTCTTCCCCGTACCCTGCCCCTACATTATATGTGCTAATCGTAATGCCCCTTTTTCCCCTTATCCCTCCCTTCCCACCCATCCTCCCCAGTCCCTTTTCCTTTGGTAACTGTTAGTAAGTCACTTCTTTTGCTTATATCTTTATGATCTGAGTTTGAGAATGAAGGGGAAAATGCAGTTAGAAACTAGTAAATTATAAAGAGCTAATAGTGAAGTTAGGATTCTGAATGTTAGAAAACCAGCAAATAAAAGTACCCTTGTTAAACCATCCCTTTTTGCATTAAATTTCCTGAAATGAGGTAAAATGCTGTTTAAAAAATTAAATTAAATCCTGCTTCTGATTCAGACAAAATATTTTTTTAATTATGCTCCGCATCATACTTGCTTCTAGTTAAGAGGTTATCTGAAAACATAAAAGCAATTTCGGTCCATGAAAGTTTCATTGTGTGTATCATTGGCAACCTTTTATTAAATGCATATGCCCTTTATTCTGCCTAAGTGGCTTTCATGAGCCTCACCATGTCCTTATGCAGATATTACCAAAGCAACTTGTGTTCCTGCTAATCATGTCTTCAATTAAAAGACTACCAACTTCTGGAAACTAGGTAGTGTAAGTCAGCTTATTTTCTTTGTTAAACGAATTGGACATTTGTGATAGAGGTTACCTGTGTGATGCCGTTTTTTTAAAGGAAGCTGTAGTATTGGACCTAAACTGTAACATGTCACTTTAAGTCCAATTCTCACAGGCCATCTGCTTTTCCCTGACTGTGAGGTAGGCATCTTTGGAGGTAGCATTAAGTCATATAAACTGCTTACACTGTATTTCTTCCTTTCTAAAGGCGCTCAACTTATATGAAAAAAAAAGCATCTCAGTCTTAGTGAGAATCTGGCTCATTGACTTGATTGACACATCAAAACTTTCCCTTGCGACATGTGCTTTAGGTTGCCAAGTAATAGGGTTGTTATT